GGGCCAAATGAGGTAATTTAAAACTGGTGCTAAAACGCAATTAACAAAAATATTTTTTTTTTGTATTGGGCCCATACGATTTAGGCCCAGTAGACGTGGTCCAGCCTACCAGAAACCAAAATATATATTTTTTTTGACAACTCTGGGCCCAAACGAAATATGGGCCCAGTACTTAGGAAACCGAATCCCTAGGATCTGATTTCTGACCTTGTTGTTGGGTTTGTGATGGCCGCACAGGAGAAGAGGAAGAAGGGAGGAATCGCCGGCGAGCATGGAGTTCTAGCCATGAGTCGTCGCCGGAGCCGTCGCTTGGAGCCAGGAGGAACGACGTCGTCCCTATCTACGGCAAAGGAGGAAGCCACCGTGAACCACGAAGGGTCTTCACCAGCCGTGAGTCAGGCGGCCAGGTGAGACGAGAGTCATCATACACGTCTCCAGTGACGTGAACGCTGTTGCCGATGCAAGAGTGGAAGAAACACACCGTGTCGCCGCCGTGAACCAGGTAAGACGACGCCACGAACCTGAAGAGAAGACGCTCCAGATGATTCAAAGAGATTACTTCCTACAGTGAGATCACAGTGAGGAGAACGTGCAGTGAAGGAGAATTCCGGCGAACGTGCAGTGAACATGGATATACAATCTTCATCAGCGACCATGGAGACGTCAGGGAGCACGAAGAAGACGAGAATAATGAATGCGATGATGAAGGCAAATTTTGTTTTTTTGTTTTTTTGTGCTTTCATCATAAACATAACAAAATTTAAAAAAATTATCGATATAAGAAAATTTTTCTGAATAATATAGATATAAAAAAATTATCGGTATAAGATAAATCTCTATCAATATATGTCATTAGAAGAATTGAGATATATAAATTTAAAATTCGTTACCAAGGCTCTGATGCCACGTGTTGAATTTGAATATCTCAATTCATATGTATAATAAAATATGATAGAATAAAGTAATTCATGCGTACCCGAAGAATCCATGAGTGCTAGAGAAATCTCGATTACCTTGAGTATAGGCAGGTACACAACCCACAGGTCCCCAAAGCCTTCAGAGACTTTAGAGATAATGAAAGTAGAAGAAATGAGTCATCTGTTTGCGGTTATCGACTAATCATCTTATATAGATCAGATCGATAATCGCCTTATTAAATAGTTAAATAATTATATTATCTATTATCTCTGACTCGGTTAGTTAAGAGATAGAAAATAACTGACGGCTACTGGGTTGTGGGTTGGGCCTCTGTCCATTGGGCTCACTTGTGTGGTCCACCTATCACGGTCCGCACAAGATCATAAAGACCAATCTATTGGGCTTATTAATTAATGCTAATTCATAAATAATATTCCAACAGAGTCATCTCTATCAACCATGAAAATAAATGAGAAAACGAGCAAGGCCTAAAAAGCCCGATTGCCCAAAAAAAAAGCTTACTATTTAAGAAACCTTGCCCTTAGGCTAACGAGTTCAAGGTTGGCCTGAGTATTTTAAGCTCTTTTATTTTCTTTTAATTTTTTTTGAAAAACAAATATTTGAAAATAAAATAAATGCTAAAATACGTATAAGTCTCTTTATCGTGACCAAATGTTTAAATCATTAATGGAACTTACCTAATCAAATTCAAGTCGGTGAAGCGTCATTTGATATGGGTTTAAGGTAATTTATGTCATTTCATGAAAACAAACAAATCCTTCCCTTATTCAAAAGTGAATATTTCATCAATCCCTCCAAAATTCAGCATATCATTTTTCTTCCTTGGTTTACATTGGTGGATGTTCATGACAATAAAAATGCCATTTTCTTCATGACAATAAGGTTGATATCCTCAAATTCATTCACTTTCTTCTTTTTGTTGGTTTTTGTTTCGCTCCTCTTCACCCCCCCCACATTTAAAAATAACCTGCAGAATATTAACAGTTTCTCAATTTTTATATTTCACATACTGACTCAAACATAGAAGAAAAATGATTAAAAAAAATAAAAATTTCAAAGCAGTAAAATCTTCCACAAAAAAAAATCTTTTAAGGAAAAAAAAAACCCCAACTCTTAATGCCCATCCTTATACCAAATCAATTATCACCATCAATTTCGAGTCGTGATTGAACTCACCTTCACACGTTCTCTCGGAATTGTATTCCGTGTCTCATCATTTGGGTGTATCACATGCCTAAAACAGTAAAAGGATACAAATGCTTATGTTTGGAAGGGATTTAATTATTGTCCCGAAATAATACAAGTACTCTATCAAGCCACATCATACATGACACTCCATCAAAGTTAGATCTCATAGGGCAGTTCTCATTAATGATTTAAAAATGTTTTTGAAAGATAAAAGGTTTGTTGAGTTTTTTTTTTTGGTTAAGATTATGAGGTTAGGGAACTCATTTGCATATGACCTAAAGTTCAAGAGAATAAATATTTTAGCTAAAATAAATTAAGCCATAAATAATCATATTTAGCAAGCCTATGCATGTCCTTGCTTGCTCATCACTGAAGTTATCATAGCTTTGACTCGTCCAAGAAGTAAATCAATATAAAAAAAATATTTTAGAATTTTCACTAATAGCTTTACAATGATAATGTTTTGATACCACTGGGATTTTGCAAAACTAGACTTTGTTGCAGCATTAGAGTCCTATTCGTGTCATAGTTTTAAGTGCAAATTTGCTGTATTTTTTATTCTAATATAGGGCTTCACATAGATGATGAGTTATATGAGGTTTCGGCAAAAAACAAAACCTCGTCTTCTTCGATGGCCATCATGTTAAGCTACTTTGGGTCATCTACTTTGGGTTATCTACGTTGGGTCATCATCTTTTTGTTCTTGCTGGTAGGTTTTCTTTCATGCTATGGCTTTTTCATGTCAAGCTACAGTATTTTAAATCATATAGAAGAAGAAATATTGATTTGATTCTTAGAAATCAATTCAAATGTATGCATGTTGAACTTAAACTTGATGTTGATGAATTGCATTTGAAGCTACTTTTAATTTTTCATGCGAGTTCTTTAACACCATATCTAGTTGATCAATTTGAAGATAGCGCGAGCCTTTTTGAATTATTTAAACTATACATTAAAAGTCTTCAATATAGTATATGCAATTGCAGAAATAGTTTGGATTAGACAATTAGTTAGTAAGAAAAATAGGCCAATAAATTCTTTGCAAGTCAATTCCCTCGTTCAGATCTAACAAAAAATTTCATTGCAATGCCTCTTGAAAAAGACATTATCGAGAAGGTGGGCGAGGATATTCCTTCCCCTGAATATGGCAAAAGTAAAAAGACATCTACAATCATCAATAATTTAGGATGGAACCACAAAGTTGCTCGAATCAATCACATTATTTATTGAGTATAGTTTTTTTAAGATTTTTTTAATAGTTGTTCGAGTTTGTTTTGGTACAAGTCTACTTGTGTTGTCCATTTACTTTCTTTTGATTTTGTGTTATCTTTTATAATGAGCCTTTAGATTTTTTTTTTTGGAGGGCCTTTTGCTTGTTTATAATCTTTTTATTTGAATGAAATTTGTCTTTATTTAAACAAAATAACAAACAAAAGTACAAATTGCCAAATTAAAACAAACAAAATAACATACAACCTATAGGTAAAATAGCTAGCTTATGCATGTCCTTGATTGTTTTTCACCCACGTTATCACACCTTTGGCTCATCCTTTCCCCTTTTCTCATAAAATCATTCAAAAGTGCAACAAATAGAGAAGTTGTCACAGCATACAACCACTCATCTGGTGTCAACTTCTTAACATCCAAAAAATGGTTTTTATATACACAACAACAAATTAAATAATTAATAAATTAAATTTAAAACTTAAGACTTGAAATTAAAATAAATTTATTAATTAAGAAATTATAATTTTTTCTGTCTTAAATTATAAGATAATCTTGGAGGTACTCCTTTTGTCTTAATTTACAAGACACCATTGAAGGAAATTCGACATTTCAAAATGTAATATATTTTGACAAAAATAATATTTCATTGATAATATTTTTTCAATATTGCTATTTCCATATTTTCCCTCACTTTAATATTTTTTTACAAGTGGAGTATTAAATAAAATATATTTTTGAAACTTTACATTTTGATTTTTTAAAAGTAAAGTTATAAAGTGTATTTAATGAGTTTTATTAATATGTGTAATTTTATCTAAAAATGTCTTATAAATAAAAATAAAAGTAGTATTTTGTTATTCCAAAATATAAGATGATTCCACAAAGATAAGGTTTTACTAATTATATTTTTCCAATATAACCAATATTACCATTTAAGTGGAAGAGAATTGAAACAATTGTAATATAATGATTATGTGTATAAAATTAAAGTTATATTAAAATCATTTTAATAAATTTAAATTTTTATTTTAAAATGTAATTTTTAAAGTATTATTATTTTTATTTGTATATGTAATCTTGTCCAAATTGTTTTATAATTTTAGATAGGAAGGTATAATAATTACTCCCTCCATTCAAAATATAAGGCTTTTTTAATCAAATTTTACTTCTAATAAAGTAGTTACTTGCTTTTAAACTAATCCTGTATTTCTATATTTATCCTTATTAAATACCCTATAATAAATATAAAATTATTATCAATAGAGGTACTTTAAAAAAAATAATGATTATACCTTAAAAAACTAAAAATACTTTATATTTTTAAACATTTAAATTTTTAAAAAAATATTTTTTTAACGGTGGGAGTAAATTTTATCTACCCTTAAAAGCTTTGATCTGAAAACAAACTATTGTAAACTAACAAACCATATTTGAAAGATGCAAATAAAATTAAAAAAAAATCAAAACAAAACAAAAAGCAAGACAGTACCAAAAGAAATCCATTCCATTTTTCTGTTTTTTCCTTAAAAATATAGCATGCCAGAAAACAAAAAGCAAAATGAAATAATCACCTGTTCTATTTTACTTTCAGAATCAACCAACAAATTACAGAAGCTTTTGTGCCACATGACAGAGATTTCTAAACAAATTTCTCAAATTAGTTAAGCCTCAGGAACTTGAAACTACCAAAATATCCCTTTCAAGAATTGGCCTCTCTCGCTGCAACTCCTGCGCACAATCTGGAAGGAAAGAGAGATTTATTGGCTTCTTTTTGTCGTTGGAAAACGACAATGTCACCGAGATAAAGGAGGAGGAGGAAGAAGGAGAAGCATATTATTGTTCCTTCTCTTTCTCTCCCTCCTTCATTTACAATCACAAAAATTAAATTCATCATCAATGAATGGGGACATTTCAGAGCTTCAAAAAGGCTTATGGTGCCCTTAAGGACTCCACAAAGGTTGGTATTGCCAAGGTCAATAGCGAATATAAGGTAATTTTTTTTTTACCCATTTTCATTTTCGTTCAAAATATCAAGCTTGATGTTCAAAATTTTCATGTTTAGGAAAAACCATTCTTCATGCTTTATTAGCTTTGTTCAATTTTCTTTATTGAAGGATTTGGATATTGCAATTGTAAAGGCTACCAATCACGTAGAATATCCTCCCAAGGAACGTCATGTTCGAAGTGAGTTAGTTTATATGAATCGTTACTCTTTATTCGTTTATATATTTATATTTATATTTATTTTTCTAATTTTGATATTGCATTCACCTGGTGAATTTGTGTCGCTGCGTTTCACGTAGAATATCCCCCTAAAGCTTTTCATCATGTTTTAAAAGCAACGTTTTAACCAATCTATCATTTTTCCCTTTTCACATGGTTGTATTGAAGAGCATGATTGAATGAAATCATTAGCAGGTTATCAACTTGCGTTACAAATTGGATTTGCTTTTCCATTGATTAAATACTCAGTGACTCTGAATATACTTATTCTTTTTCCCCTCCTACTATGCCTTAAACTCAATGCAGAAATCTTCGATGCAACATCAGCACACCAACCACGAGTAGATGTGGCTTACTGCATTCATGCACTGTCCAGGAGACTATCCAAAACAAAAAGTTGGATAGTAAATTCTCTGTCCCTACTAGTGTTTTGACATGTTTTTTTCTTTCAAACCACTAAAAGCTAAACAAACCTTGGTATAAAAAAAATATAGTACGGCAAAAACCCTACAAGTGTTTGAACTTTGATTGTCGTTGTTAAACAAATTGCTATCCTTGTTTTTCTACTTATGAGCAACCTTTAAAAGAAAGAAACACTTTATTATTTCATGTTTAAATTTGAAATTGTGGCTCTACTGCACTGTCATAACAAATGGGATATGGAATGTCCATAGTGGACTTTATTATGCAGCATGGTCTACAAGCTCAACTCAGTCTATTAAGAGAGGAAATATGTTTTTGAACAGTTTTACCATGAACAACATCTTTTCTTGCCATGACAATAATAACAATAAGCCTTATTCTACTGGGTGGGGTTGGTTACATGAATTATATGACGCCATTGTGATCTATTATTAACAATAACAAGATCTTTCCTTGCCATGAGGAAACAATTTTTTCAAACTTCATTGACATGCACCTCAACTTAATTGAGTTTTATTTATGAATATGACAGGTTGCCATAAAGACTTTAATAGTCATTCATAGGACTTTAAGAGAGGGTGATCCTACCTTCAGAGAAGAACTTCTGAGCTTCTCACGTCGGGGAAATGTTCTCCAAATATCCAATTTTCTAGATGATTCAAGCCCTACAGGTAACCTGGTTCTTCAAACTAATTGGTGTACTTTTTTGACTTACTAGCTAGTCTAGAACTTTTATGTAAGTTTTTACTATTGAATTTCATACCTGATGAGGTTTCTTTGTGCAGCTTGGGATTGCTCTGCATGGATTCGAACATATGCTCTATTTTTAGAAGAAAGACTAGAATGTCTTAGAATCCTTAGATATGACATTGAATCTGAGCCTTTAACTCTAACATCAGCAGTCACTCAGGTGTGAAATTATCGTTATTTGAAATTGCATTCTAAACTTTCCATACATTTGATTATTGTTTTTGGGAAACAAGGGAAAAAGGTTGCGAGATCTAGTGGTAGGATTTGAGGAATAAAATATAGGACCTTTCATGTACTCTTAATCGCTAGTGACTGATATGCTGGTAATGTGCTGTGCTTGAGAAAAAAGAGGTGAAAAGCTTCTACAATAAAATATAAAAAGTGATTTAAAAGCTTTAATTAAGTTGGGTGCAGTAGTTACCTTTAAATGCTGATGTGACTTAAAGCTTCCATGTAGGGCCTACTCAAATAAACTTGGTGTTGCTTTATGCAAATAGAAGAAAAATTGATCTATCCTAGATAAAGCTTTCTCTTCGTACAATCAATTTTTGAATATGATATACTATTGAAATAGAAAATAAAATGATTACTTGTCTATTTTTTTTTTCGTGGAAATGACTACATATCTATAATAACTACGCATTACTACTATAGGCATAATACCATTTCATAACTTAAAGTTGGTCTTCATTGTAGCCCACCAAACATCAGCCTCCTTAGCACCTCAAGGCAAAACGCAGATAATTTTAAAATGATCCACTTAAGTCTATGTAGGAACGATTACTATGTGCAGAATATAATGAACTCCTAATCGTGACAGACACACAGCAGAACAAGAATCTTACGTTCTGATGAGCTGCTGGAACGGCTACCTGCATTGCAGCAACTTCTTTACCGTCTTATTGGTTGTCAGGTAAATCTTGAATGGGAAAACTAAGGTTTAGTATCTGCATGCTCACAATTTGATCAGTCATATCCCTTAACATTGAAATTGCTGCATTCGCTTTCCTTTGAGATGACATTTAATTGGCTTTAATCTCTTGCAGCCTGAAGGAGCAGCCTACAATATTTTTCTCATACAATATGCATTGGTGTTGGTATTATTTATTAGCTTTTAGTATTTTTCAAATCTGAGTATTTGATTCTCCTAAAATGCTCATTTGCAACTGCATGGCTAAAGAAACATGACCAGAAATATAAAAGAAACTATCCAACCCATGTCCATGAGTTGTTGAAATTATTTCCTGTGTGCTCATGAGCACAGTGAAACTGAGTGTGGAAAAACAAATCTCAGGGTTGGATGATCTTAAATAACACTGGTCAAAAAAGGGCCTCTGCTGCAAGTTGAAGATTTCATATTAATTAGAAATGCAAAATTTTGCAGCCTAATTCATCCTTAGCAGCTACCTTCCATGGATTTTTATCGCTTAAAAGGAACTTATGTCTATTTCTGGCATCTCTTATTTATTATTGTGTCCCTTTTTCTCACACATGTTTTTTGTTGGCAATTTCGTTTAGGTACTAAAAGAGAGCTTTAAAATATATTGTGCAGTCAATGATGGAATTATAAATCTCATAGACATGGTAGCTTCTGTCTCAGTTTAATGTGCTCTGTTGTGTTCTGTAAATCATAGATTCTAACTCATTTTATGTATTATTTACATTTCCCTACAGTTCTTTGATATGTCAAGACATGAAGCTGTGAAGGCTCTAAATATATATAAAAGAGCAGGCCAGCAGGTTTGTAATGATGCTTTTCTTCATTGGCATTCTTCTTCTTGTCCGTTATGACTACAATCTTGACCTCAATGATTTGCTGAACTAACACTTGAGATTTTATTATTATAATGCAGGCTAAATATCTTGCCAATTTCTATGAATATTGCAAGGGCTTGGACCTTGCTAGGAATTTCCAGTTCCCAACATTACGGCAGGTTTTTTTCATTTCTTTAATGAGAAGTTTTCACTTGATAGGAATGAATGGTTCTCTTATGAAGTTTTTTTGTTCCTTCTGTAAACAGCCACCTCCATCTTTTCTTGCCACAATGGGAGAATACATCAAAGAAGCACCACAGACGGGTTCTGTTAAAAAGAGATTGGTGAGAAAGTGATGTGTCAATTATTTGGAGAAAGCTTTACAGTTATATTGTATTTACATCGTATCTTAACTCCAATGAACCCATATGCATCTGTCATCTATTATATTTAGGTATACATTAGGTTCAGCTCAACTTGTCTCTCAAAGACTTTAATTCGATCTTTTTCAGGATGTAAGCAAGCCCCGTAGGTCTAGCGTCCTTAAGGCTAGTCTTCAAACATGCAAATGAAATGTTAATAACTACTTAATACTCAAGAGTAAGCCATAGTATTTTGAGGACATCCTGAAGCCTAATCAATACATTCATTTCTATTTTTTATTGAAGGAAGGGATGACAAATCTAAATCATATTGGGGATTAACAAGACTCTTCAAAGATAATTATTTATTCTACATTGAAGCCTAGTTGAATGGACTTGTGGTTGCCCATTTGTTGTGATTGAATTTTGGCCAAAAAATAAAAGCTTATTATCTGCAAATCTATTCTCGTACCATTCATGAATGATATATATCTAGTAATCTAGTCAGTCCAACTTAATTCTGTGGCCGGTGATTCAAATAGCCCCTTCACTACTGTCAAACATAGCTGTTTTAGTCTACTTTAATCATTGATGTTGTGCCCTTATTGAAAACAAATTAACACGCCATATTTCCTTCTTGTGTTGAATCATACTGCATACTGGTGAAATAATTACTACCCTGGGTGAAGACTCCACTTGGCTGCTTTTTTCCTAAATAAACCTTATATGCTCCTCTATAAATTTAATATGGGTTTCATGTTCTGGGGCACCTTGAAAGGTTGAAATCTTGATTTGCAGATGGAGATGTATGCCCTTCAGTTTGTTTTTTTTTTCTTTAACATGCATTTATGTGTTATTACAGTCAAAAGTATCGATTAATTCTGACTAAAAGTAGATCCCCACCCCACAATCTTAAGTATGCATTTTTGGTGTTGGCCTCATACGTTTAAGATTTTATTCTCAAATTGTTCTCCAAGGAAACCAAATTTAGATTGGTAGAGATACGCTCTCTCCTCTTACCAACTGAGCTATCTCTTTGGATTGCATTCATGATATATATATATATATATGTATTGTTCCATATAATAATTGCTGAGGAAGAAATTTAGAAGAAAAACCAAGGAATGCTTGAATGTTTTGGTTGAACTAATAGCTTGTTCAAACTCACCCGAGTTCCAAATGGATTTGCATGTTGTATGGTTCCTTAATGAATGCCATTCAACATCAGGAGTATCAAAAAACTATTGAATCAACTCATGAACCAGAACTAGAAGAACCTAAAGAACCAGACAAGATTGAGAAACAAGCTGAGGACGTAAATGAGGAAAGGCTATTAGAGACAGTGGAAGAAATACAGGATAAGGAAGTGGAGACTGAGTTGCCTCCTCTGATTTCAACTAAAGCTACTGATGATTTGCTGGTATGTTAAAGTCATTTGGTGTGCACTTTCATATTGTTAGTTTGACTTTTAGGTAGCGTTTGGATTGACAAATTTAAATTTAAAATTTAAAATCTTGCATTTCAAATTTCACATTTCAAATCCATATATTTGCCAAACTTGATGACAAAAGCTTGTGTTTCAAGTGATGGCATCGCTAATTAGTTGATTGGTTGGGGTTAGTTATGTTGAGCTAACAAAAACAAAATCCATATATTTAAAATCTTTTGCTTGGATAGTTTAGAAAATTTCAAATGAAAAAGAGAAATAACCTAAAATTCGAAACAAAAAAAAATTAGAAATGATGAGTTTATTTTTATTTTTTAATTGACAAGAGATGAGAAAATATACAAAAATCATAAAGGTATCAATAGTGAAAATGTGAATAGAATAAAATGTTTGAAGTGATCAAAATTTTAAATGACCAGGTTGTAAAGAAATTTGAAATTATAAAGAAATTATAATTTGAAATGCCAAAGTTATAAGTTTTTGTATATCCAAATGAGGGATTTGGTCCAAATCCAAATCCTCCTTAATCCAGACACATCATTAGAAAATTTGCATCCTTTTCATTCTTGTTTTTTTGTCCTTGTTTTTTCTTTCGATCTTTGTAGGGTTTGAAGGAAATAAGTTCAAACGCACGAGACTTGGAAGATGGCAATGCCTTGGCTCTTGCAATTCCTCCAACCAGTGGTACAGCTACAGGATTTTATATTAAGTAAATTACATGGACCTCCTTTGAGTTTTGCTAATATTGCATGAGCTATTTCTCTATTTTCAAAATCCATACAGATCTCTAAAATTAAAAATAAAGTTATCCAGATCTCTCCTAAATTTGGCCAAAATTACACATACCTCCATCTGTTTTCAAAACTTAATAGAAACTTTCAACAAAGCTCAGTAGAAGTCTGTGTAATTTACTTTTCTTTTGAAAGCAGAGGGGCGGTATGTTTGATATTAGCAAACACTAGGGAAGATTGTATTGGTTTTGAAAATAGAAGAAAAGTCTATATAACTTTAGCAAAACATAAGAGAGATTGATGTAATTTACTCTAATATTTGAATGTATATGATTTTATGTTATGCATGCCTTTGTTGTAGAAATAGCAATGTATTAAATAATACAACTATAATGAGGTTTGTCTTTCAGTCTTCTTGAGCCTCAGAGCTTTGGATTATAACGCCATACAAATCTCGTTTAGATTTGTGGAAGGAGATAAACTCATATTTGCATTTGGCCTAACACCATACTTCTATCATTTTTTTCCTTTTTCACATTATATTTCAATATTACTCTATATTGCTTATCTTGAGACTTAGCAACTTCATGCAGGGAACAATGTAAATGAGCGTAGTTTGAATGACATTGCTGGTAATTCTGGTTGGGAACTTGCTTTGGTTACAGAACATAGGAGTAACCATACCAATCAAGCTCCAGATGGTAAAATGGTTTGTTTCTTCGCTCTACTAATCTTGATTGCTTGCCTATCATCCCTTGCCTTATTTCTTCACTGCAATGATGAATCTTGTAAAAGAGAAAAGGAGATAAGGGCATTGATTTACTTACTTCTATCCGTTAATTTCAATTGCTTTTCATCCTACTAGATGAGGACTAATACCACAAAGGATGCATTTTTTAATTTCTTACATTTTTATCAGACTTGGGTAGAACACATCAGTGAATGTGCTGTGACTAAATTCCATTCATCCATGCCAGAACCTGGCATTCTCTTCTTACATTTTTATGGAATATACCCTTCCAAACCACAATATAGGGCATCTTCTAGAAACTTTGGTTCGTGCAAACTATGGAGCATTAAGTAGTTTTTATAATTGTTTTTCTAACCATACTTCTACTTCATTTATTACTTTTTTAAAAAAAAAAAATGATCCATTGAAATTTCAATTATCATTATTGTAACACTTATATAAAGTATTTAATGAGGATATAAATAAAAATATATACAATTTTTTAAGAGATTAAGATTTTACCTAACGTTTTTTAAAAACTATGAAGTAGTTAACAATGTCCTATATTAAGGTCCAGATAGAGTACTAAATTGAAGGCTGCCTACTGTCATCCCTTGTAATTTAACAATTACGTATAGTTGTGCCACTATATCACCAATTTTAAATTTAATCCAAGTCATGGTGAATCAAATCCTTTCCATAGTGAAAAGGGTGTGAATGTGTGTATGTGTGTGTGAGAGAGACAGAGAGAGAGGCCGGGGGACAGGGAGGATAATTGATGTCAAGCATCAATTTTTATTTTCCTTAAACTATAAGAAGATATTATCGTTGTTGTTGTTGTTGTTTTTATATGTTTTTTTCCCTTTTGTTTAGGCTGATGGGTTTGACAAGCTATTACTAGACAGTTTGTATGAGGATGAATATTCTAGAAGACAACTTCAACTCCAAAATGCAAGATATGGACATGGAGGGATGGCTCTACAGAACCCATTTGATCATAATCAGAACCAGCATGATCCTTTTGCAATGTCCAACAACATAGCCCCTCCAGCTAATGTACAATTGGCTATGTTGGCTCAACAACAACAGCAACATCAACAACAACAAAAACAATTAATGTTTCAACAACAAAATACAATGATGGTACCTCATCAATATCCTCAGCAAATGCAGCTTGTTGTAGGCTCTAATCTTAACCCATTTGCAGATCCCTTGGTGTCACTTAGCTATCCTCCAAGTTCAAGGCCTCCACAAGGATATTACAATTTGTAACGTAGGGTTCAAATTCTTTAATTCTCACATAGTATAGGGTTATCTTTCGCCTTAAAAAGGATGTACTCTTGTTCTGTGTAGTATTGGATTTCTCTTTCATTGTCATAGATCATTTTCTTTTAAATATTATGGTATGAAGTATCACAAAGTTTTATCTCAAACGCAAGCAGGTTTAATTAAAAGTAAACTCTTTGAAATTGATTGTCATATATGTTTACATTTTTATTGGAAAAAACAATCATTAATTTCTATAGTTTTATTAGATTTTGCTTTTAATCCCTATATAAAAACTGAAAATATTGAAATTATAAGGATCTCAATAATATACGTCACCCAATTTTGCTGAAATTATAAGAATTAAAAAAATTATAATGATTAAAAGCAAAACCTAATGAAATTATAAGAACTAATAATTATATTTTTTCTTTTTATTTACAGTTATTAATTATTCATTTTTAAAATAAATGAATTTTCACCTACATCTTACAATACATTTGTAATGTTGCTCCTCAAGTTTCTTAATTTTTTTTAAAGAAAAATAGTGAACAAAACATTTTTCATAAATTGTTGGTTTCAACAAATATGATTTTCTTCTAATCATAACAAAAAATGTGGGGGGCTTCTTTGTGACATTGCAATTTTGGTGCCTTAGTCCCAACCATAAAATCAATGCGAGTGACACTGCATTTTGGATAATAATGATTTAGCATCTTTAAAATTTCCATAACTTAAACCCTTTATGTATGCTATTGAATGGTGCGGGAAAAGATGTCTTGAATAAGGATGTTTGAAAAGTAACTAGTTATGGATGAGTTAGAGATGAATTAGAGTGAGCAAACTTGTGGGATCATTTTAATCTCTATTCACTTTTATAATGAGGTGGCAAATGCTGAAAAGATATCATCTTAATCTTGTTCACTTTTGTAAACATTTTTTACATATAAATGCTTTATTTTCATTCAAAAAAAATTGTCAAACAACTACAATTGGAACAAATGTTTAGAAAAAATGTGGGGAGATAGCAGATGCATTGGTAAATATGGCAATAATCTTGTGGTATTATGATAATCTTATCTCTGAAGCTAGTAGTGAGAATCATGCATAATCGGCGCGCGCAAAGTGCATATGGTTACTGTTCACCTATAGTTGAATGAACAGTACCATATATATATATTTTTTAAAAATAACTTTTATAAACTAAAATCTCATGTGAGACCCACAATAAAATAGGTGTGGGATCCATAATAAAAAATATATATTTGTGACTATAAGATTTATAATAAAAAATAATATAAGACGTAGTATTTTTGGCAAGGGTAGGAACTCTACTTTGTATCTTGTATATGTATGAAACAATTAATTGTATTATAAAATATAAATTTAAATAATAAATAATAAAACAGAATGTTTTATTGCAATGAAATTACAAACTTAATTTATATAAATTACAAAAAATATGTGTATAAATTGATGTATAATTTTTATTATTTCAAATCTTAACTCACATAAAATAAGAAATTCTGTATAAAATAAAATTAAAAAGTATTTTATATCTTTAATATATTTGATTAAAACAAATTTTAAAACTGAATAAATTTCTGTTTAAATTTAAATCTGCATAAAGTAACATATCACAAGTACACAAAAATAAATTATTTTAATTTTTTTATATTTTATGCTTATCCTTCAAACGATAAAAAAATCCTTACAAATATTAAAAAAACATGTCAAATAAATTTTTACAATACTTAAAAACAAGTAAAAAAAAATATTTCCATGCATTGCATACGTCAAAATCTAGTTTTTACTAAAATCAGATATGCATCTATAACCAATTAAAATTTAAAACATTGCAAAAAAAAAATTTAATTACCACACTCTTATACTCTTTATTTATATGATTATAATGATTTTTTTATCCCTTGTTCATATGTCGGATCATCATCTTTCTTTCATGCTTTACCTTGACTTTGACTATTTACTCAGTACTGACTAATGGTGTATTGATTATTATTTACCACTAAGGAAATAAAATTTCCACATTATGATTTATAATCCTTAATAGCTTAGGAAAAATGACAACTTTTTATTTGTGATTTTCTGTGATACAAGAAACATTATATTTTCCGTGGATATTGCTTCTAGTGATACACCTTCCCAAGTTGTAAAATTTTGATTGGTGTGATTTATATTTTCATAGCACATATTGGGATGTGATTTAGCAACAAACCCATCTTATTTAAATCATATCCCAATATATCTTATGATCAATATATCAATTTTAAACTAAATGATTGGAGAAAAATTGATTCAGACAAGAAGTAATTGTAAATAATATAATTCCTTCGGTCGTGATTGTTAAAACATTTTTATCCATGAAACTGAAACTACACCAATATCATTTACTTTTTAGTAGACTGAGTGAATAAGGAAGCAAAAGACCAACTTCAATTCAAAATTTTTTCTTCTTGAAGAATTGAATATTTTTCGTGATGGAAGTCAGTGCTAGTCAACTAATAATTAATACCCCTTTTTGTGATCCAAGCTATTCAAAAACTCCAGGCATGACTAACTTCCACTTTTTTTATTTTAAGTTCATTTTATTTTCATGTTTCCTTTTCCATGATGAAGTATGATTTAAATCTCTTCTTACCTATTGCTTGCTAAATTTTACTGTTTCACTTCTTATTCAATTGTCAATCTTTTACTAATATCAATGACTACAAATTTTTTCCACATGAATTAAGGAATTAAATCTAATTTGTCACATGAAATAGTAAGAATGTATTGTTGTTCTATTGAACTGTTACTTATTAGACTTATTATCCAGTCCCATTATTTGTTTTTCTCTCGGACTGATAATTATATATACCCTATAAAAATAAAAGTCATAAAAATAAGATATAACTTAAAAATAAAACTTAAAATAATATCTTAATATATATATATATATATATAGAGAGAGAGAGAGAGAGAGAGAGAGAGAGAGTTCACAACCGTCTTCCAATGTTTCATCTCAGCCAGAGATTGAGATGGAAAGGGAGACTACTTGGTTTCAATCTAAAAATGACACTTGTAAATAGCAGTGTTCAGTTTGTACCTATCTCGATTGGCCCGGTATCATCTTGGCCTGAAAACAATTGAAACGGGACTTTGTGAGACAGAACATAAAAGGAGTTCGGAACAAGATGAGACATGAGATTACTATCGGGATGTCACTTCCATCCCAAATGTTATATCTATTATTTTTATTTTAAAAATATATATTAAATATATTAATTATATGAATTATAATTTCAATGCTTGCAATTCTTATATAAAACTAAAGTTTTTATATTAATAATTTTAATAACATAGAATAAATAAGGTAATATCTTTCTTTATAATATATTAATTATATTAATATAATCTATTTTTATATTTATCTATTTAATAACTTTTATTTATATTGCATTTCTTATTTTATTTTTAAAAGAGTAATAAGCTTAGCACATCTTAACTAAAGTAGAAGAACAATGATTTGATATTGTACTTAATTTGCTTGTTATTGCTGCTCTTATAGCCTAGAGATCACTTATAATTGCTATCATAATGTGTCGTTGTAATTAATATAATTCAATAATTGATTTTAAATTATTGTGATTTATGTACTTATATCGTTTTGATTTAAAACTTAATAAATTATATGATTTAAAATTTTAATGAATGTTATTATCTAAATTTTTTTTTCGACATTATCTGATTTATTAGGATAGCGGGATGTTTCGATCCTGTCCTAGTCTCGTCCTAATTCCTAACAAGATAAGACAACTTTCAGGATGGATCAGGATACGGGATAAAAATTCAATCCTAATCTTTTTTTCAAGACATGACACAAGACAAGGGTGTTTCAGTCTCATCTCATCTCATGAACACCCCTACTTGTGAATACACATACACAATTTTAACAGTGATATGTTTTTATATGGATAATATTTTATTTTTAATACTTACATAATTATTTTACGAATGAAAACAACTAAATAAAGAAAAATTTAACAGTTCAGTGCGCTATTTTTTAATAAAAAATTTTAAATAATCATTTTTTATTTTTATTTTTAAAAACTAGTTAAATATTTATCATTTATTGAAATAAAAGATAAAAATTAATAATAAATATTCAGTTAAAAATTAAATAGTTTTTTAAGATAAAACAGACGGATTTAACAGTAAAAATCTATAAGACATGTATGTATATCCATAATTGATTTAAAATCAATGTATCGCAGAAGGTTGAGCGATGAAATTAATACTATTTTTATTTAATTATTTAAGGAACCCTTTGATTCACTGTCATTGAATGTGACATATGTCCCCTAATTTGTGATTAGATTATTTCCTTTTTTTTAATATTAGTGATTAGACATGAGAAAAATAATTCAAAAAAGTTTTTAAAAAGTTCTGTTTTTCTAATACTTTATCCAACACTTTTTTTAATATTTAAAATTTATTAAAATATCATGAGAAATATAGAAAGAAAAGGAATAAAATTGCATGAAACCAAATGAACGTGTAGGGAAAAGAAAAATTGTAAAACATAAAAAGCGTACAAAGCCCCTAAAAAGGGTTGCGCTGTTTCTTTCCCTCTTCTTTCTTCTTTTTGAAATCAAGAGATGCAATGTTTCAATTTATAAATAGAACTCCTTATAAATTTTTAATTATATATTAATTATTGATTAATTCTAAATTATTCATTGAAGACATATTAATTTTCATAGATTTATCAGTACATATGCAAGGTTCAGCCAAAACGCTTGTCCATAGCACTCCAATAGGAAAGTATAGTTACATCTTCTATGTAGCCGGACAATGCACTGAGATTGAGAAATGGATTGCTATGATTATAACTTGTAAATAGTATACATACTACAAATTAGATTTGATTTTTTTTTTTTTTAGATATTCACATCTTTTGTATATATTGATGAGTTAAGTTCTCGATCCTTAAGAATGCTCCAATAAAAATATGCTTTTTATCAGTTTGCACGAACAAATACATACATTTCATCTGAGAAGAATTCAACATAACCTCGCAAATACCCAACACACATGGATGATTCTCAATTTGATCACCTGGTCCACAACTAAATATAAACGATGACATTGAGACCAAGTAGAGTGACAAGGGAATTCCCAAGACAAACCAACCAGTACTGAAATCGTATGGATCCTCAATTTGCCTTGCATTGACCTTCTTCCATGCACTCTTGGATGTGCTCAACTTGTGGTCCAGAAAATCCTACGTAGATATCAGTTCAAACAGGAAAAGAAAGGGATTAGAATGATATAGCATTTGCCAAACAATGAATTTAAGTAATTCACATTTGAGAGTTAAAAAGGGAATTTGATTCAACAAGAAAAAAATCAGACTAGGCAGAGTCAATTACAAGGATTGTATGCACTATTGTGCTCTGTCAATAACCAACTTTTTAGATATGTTGTTCAACAAAAGCTCCCGTATGATAACTGAGTATTGTTACCTTAAGAGTGCAATTAAGTACAAACCAAAGACAACCCTCAAGATATATAATGCAAGATGAAATCATGTTACCAACAAAACTTTCTTTCTCTTTATTTTGAAATGTGCTAGGGGTTCCCAAAAAAAAAATAAAATAAAATAAAATAAAGAAGAAATGCAAATAAAATCTAAAAGTCGTCCAATTGGTTGAGCATGCAAGACTTGTAAAATGTCCACACAATATGCTAGAAAATGAAAAGAAAAATACCCACGCACGCTCAAAATAAAAAAAGAAAATGAAAAGAAAGTCCACATCACCAAAACCAACAAAAAAAGATAGAGAATACAACGGCATAAAACCAGAATAAAGAAAACAGGCATAGAGCATAGATACAATCCCCAGCAAGCTCCCAAGGTCTTTGTAAAGAAAAGTTAATAAACGAAGCTGATATGAAGTATGAAATGTGTGAGCGAATGAGCATTCTAAGAAAGTAAGAAACCTCTACGATTCTGAATGCAATATAGGGCCATTTTCAGTGACAGCATCCAGGTTCCAGCCCCTGAAATAACAACAAATTAACTCCAGTACTAGTTGAAATTGAAATGAGATAAAAGATAAAGAATAATTCACATAGCAGAGCCACCTTTCTGCTGCTTCTCTTCTCAGTTCTTCTATGTGGTTTTCAATTGAAGCACATGCAGCTTGGATGTCTATATTTTTCTGACAAAGTTCCTTCCATTGTGTGGACAAAGCAGTAAGCTCATATGCAGTGTTTTGCTGATAATGATAATTACCAAAGAAAGGGTAGTTGAGTTAAATGGTTAATAGAATATTAAAAATAACAGATAAGCATGGAAAAGAAAGTCAAATCACCTGATGATATTTCCTTTCACGATTTACTTTTTCAATGTTGTCATTTTGTTCCTGGGCTAATTTCTGCATTCTAAAAATTGATAATGCAATGGTAGGTTGGGAGTCAACACCATGCAAAGCATAAGTTATGAATCATGTGGGGAATAGGCCCAATAAAGCTCCAGCATAATATTTTGATGTTTACAAAAGTCAGGATAACAAATCTACGAATGCATAGCTTGGTTGACAACAAAATATAGATTTTTTGAAGACATCAGCAACCTGGTCTGCCACAGATATCTATATCATCTTTTCGTATCATCATATGTATCCTTGTATCATCATATGGAACCCAAGGCAGGTAACCAAGATAGGAAACTAACTTATAGGTGTCACAGACAAACCTTGTCAAGTATACTTCTAATCGTTGATTGTGCAGCTTCCAGGCATCAGGACCATATTTTAACAATAAATCCAAATTTTCCATCCTGCAGATTGTCCAGTTCGATCATTATTGTAAAAACTGGAAGACAATTTTGACCGGCGTGGATTCTAGAAGGTATATCAGCAAACAGCTATTAATGGTCTAAATCTTGAAAGATTTTCAAAAAAGAAAAAAAATTAAGGAACGGCATCCATTGCAAATGGTGACAATACAGTACACTTTATAGCTTAAACAATTGAAGGACCTTCTTCAAAATTTTAGGGTCAGGTAATCAGGCAAGCAAATTAAATAAAATCTTTGATGACAGTGTCAAACATAACGCCATTCTATATCAAAATCTGGGGCCCATGCTGACCTACAATTTGTAAATGCAATGGTTTTTATCCGCAAGTACAAGAGGTAAAAAGGAAACGCTCTACATCAATGGCACATATGACTATTTCACAGCAACGGCTTACACTTTCCCTTTGTAAAGAGACTCACAAAACTCTAGATAAAAGATTTACGTCATAAAATATTCACCTGATCATTTGATATTGTAGCAATCGCTGCGCTCTCTGAAGCGATTGTTTCCAAGCAGTTTCATCATTTCTCTTATTCATTGGTGGCATTTCTAATTCATATCGCGACCTATCAAGAGGAACAGGAGGCCTTCCAGCTCTTACACGCTCATACTCTCTAGCAATCATTGGGTAGTCCTGGAATTCAGAATGCACAAATCAATCAGAAACGATCTGGCATGGCATTCTTCACCAACCTTGTTTCACTTCAACAGTGAGTCAAACGAATACTGAATTTAACACGAATGCGTTACACGGGGGGGGGGAACTAACAGGGAAACTCAGTGCTATTCCCAACTGCCAAGACGGCACCTTAAGTATTGCATTATCTATAAAGCACTATGATAAAGTAAATTGATTTTTGTTGTCCAACCTAAACTCAAAAAGCCGACAGAAGAGGTAACTGGAAACAATAACACACTACAAAAATGCAGCAAGAAGTAAATCGGGAACTCGGCCACAAATGTAATCCATAGGTGAGAGTGAAGATATAGAAGTGAGTCCACAGTAAAAGGGCAAAGCTACCTCAAAATTGAACTTGGGTGGTGGGGGCAAGTCTTTGAGAAAATCAGCGGGCTTTTTAGAGCTGCGTCGCATCTCTTCCTCGACCAAACGGTCAACGTCAGCCTTGACCCTGGGGTCGGCGTAGTCAACATCGATATAAGGCAACGCATCGATAATTTCGGCGTCCGAAGCACGGGGCCGAGCATAAGAAGGTGGAGCCTCCAGCATCAGAATTTCTCCATCGTTTTGATCCGCCATAGTTATGGTGTCAAATCTACGAAGCGTTGAGACTATATATATATATATTTCCAATCGACGAAGGAGGCCGGATTTTTCTCTGTGGCGTGCCTGCGTGCGTGCGTGCGCGGTGCCACTGAGCAGTAATTGCGACGACAAAGGAGGGGGAGATTTCAGATTTCTAACGAGACCTACCTGCTTCCGGGTCAGCCTATTTAAACCTTGAACCCGACTCGACCAGTTAAGGAAAATGGCCCGTGTCGATACTCACAATTTTAACAGTGATATGGTTTTATATTGTAAACGATCGATACTATTTTATTTTTAATACTTGCATAATTATTTTACTAATGAAAACAAATAAATAAAGAAAATTTAAAAAATTTAAATGTCTATTTTCAATAAAAATATTCAAATAATTATTTTTTTGATTTTCATTTTTTAAAAGTAATTAAATATTTATCATTTGTTGAAATTAAAAATAAAAATTTAATGATAAATATTCGTTTCAAAATTAAACAGGTTTTTTAAGAAAAAAACAGAAATATTTGAAAATAAAAATATATCAGATATGATAAGTATGTATATCTATAATTGACTTAAAATCAATATATTAGAAGGTTGAAGATGAAACAGATACTGTTTTTGTTTATTATTTAATGCACGCTTTGATTCACTATATGTCATTGAATGCGATATACGTTTCTTAATTTGTGATTCATTATTTCTTTTTTAATCAGTGATTAGACATGAGAAAAATAATGAGCAAATTTTTTTTTGAAAATTGATATATTTTTTGTAATATTTCTTGCAAAAAAAATTTTAATAGGGACACAAACAAATTCCATCAAAATAAACAAATAACAAATAAATATCACATAATGCGATAATTATTTGAAGTTTTCAGGAGCTTATCTGACATAATTTTTTTGCCAAATTACATTTCTCGCCCTAAGCAAAATAATAAAAATCATAGCTGTTAATACCTAAATTAAAATTGTTAATAACAAATGTGAAGTTGTTGATATAAAAAAACACAATTGTTAATTTAATTATGCAATAACAAATAAGTTTTTTATATTAACAACTTCAGCTTAATGATTAATAACGTTGCCCAAGTATTAATATTAATGATATAGTTGGTTACAATTTTAATTTGGTCATATAATAACAAATTTACTTTCATTATTAACGATTTTATATTAAACTTCAACAATGCTTTCCATTATTTTGTAGAGGGTCGAAATATTCTTTAAAAAAAATATGATGACAATAAATCCCCATAAACTTTAAAATAATTACCCTTTCATGGTTATTTGTCCCTTTTTAATATTTAAAATTTATTAAAATATCAGGAAAAATATTGAAAGAAAGGGGATAAAATCGTATGAAACCCAATGTGAAGGGAAAATAAAAAATAGAAAGTGTACAAGGCCCCTAAAAGATTTGCAATGTTTCAATTGATGAATAGAACTCCTTATAGATTTTATATTCTATGTTAATTACTAATTTATTATAAATTATTGTTAGAAGATATATTAATTTTCATACAGATTTATCAGTATAAATGCAAGGTTCAGCTATAAAGCTTGTCCACGGCACTCCCAACGGAAAAATTAGGCATATGTGAAAAGTAATACCTATATACTTGACCGGACAATGCACTGAGATTGAGAAATGAATTGCAATGATTATAACTTGTAAATAGTATAACTTACTACAAATAAGATTTGATTATATTTATTTTGAGATATTCACGTCTGTTGTATACATTGATATAAGTTCGTGATCCTTAAGAATGCACCAAGAAAAATATGCTTTTATCAGTTTGCATGAACAAATACATACATTCCTCTGAGAAGAGTTCAAATACCCAACACAAACTGATGATTCTCAATTTGACAACCATGGTCAACAACTAAATATAAACAATGACACTGAGACCAAGTAGAGTGAGAAGGGTATTCCAATGACAACCCAACCAGCACTGCAATCGTATGAATCTTCATTTGCCTTGCATTGACCTTCTTCCATGCAAGCTGCTCAATCTTGGACGTGGTCAACTTGCGATCCAGAAAATCCTACGTAGGTATCAATTTGGAAAGGAAAAGAAAGGGATTAGAATAATACAGCATTTTCCAAACAATGAGATTAAGTGATTCTGATTCACATTTGAGAGTAAAAAAGGGAATTTGATTCAACAAGAAGAAGCCAGATTAGGTAGAGTTGATACATGAATTATACTACGACACTATTGTACTCTATCAATAATCAATTTTTTAGATATACTGTTCAACAAAAGCTCCTATTCGATAACCGAGTATTGTTACCTTGAGGGTGCAATTCAGTACAAACCAAAGACAACCCTCAAGATATATCATGCAAGATGAAATCATGTTACTATCAAAATTTTCCTTTCACTTTGAAATATGCTTAAGAGGTTCCCCGAAAAAAAAAGAGTAAAAAGAAATGCAAATTGGTAAACTAACACTAATAAAATCTAAAAGTCGTCCAATTGGTTGAGCAAGCAAGACTTAAAGGTCCACGCAAAATGCAACAGTTAAAGCTTCATGTATTTTACTTCTTAATACTGCCTTGGCTAAGAAAAACACAACATCATACCACATAAAAACGTCTTATCATTATTTTTCTTTTGGCCATTTTTCTTCAGGGGTGAAAAAGTGCAGAACCCATGGGTGTCTTTGGACCACAATTCCAAAAACAGACAAGTACCTTTATCATTAACATCTGGAACAGTACAATAACACTTGAGACAACCATAAAGACATCTGTATTGATGCATGCGATAGGAATCGTCTTGTACAAACACTAAGAGCCTGGTACCAGCATCCATAATTTTTACCCTGGTACCACAGATATATTTAGAAGTTCAATACACATAACTATGTCTCGGATTTTTTTTGTCATATACTTTTTTCTTAAAACATGCTGTCACCATTCCTTTATCTGATAACATGTCAAACCACCCTCAAAATGCATATGCAAACTCAGCCTAACTTCAGCAGCATTATCTGAACTAGTAAAAAAATGAAAGGCAAGAAGAGTGACACAGCTCATCAGAAGTAAAGTGTAAGCAATCAAAGAGGAAAGAAAGAAGATACTACACATCTTTAAAATCAAAATTATCTTTTCCAACTAATCACATTGACATCGGTTTGTTTATTGAGAACTAACAGGCTTAAAAAATTGCTCACCACAGTAACTGGTCCAGTTAAATTGTGTGTCAGCTCTCCTCATCTTCTGATATAGCTACATTTTCCGGAACTGATAAAACCTTAACTTGTACTCTCACTCCCATCTCTTCTGGCCCGTTTAACTCCACATCAGCATCCATATGAGCAGATTCATTTTCTGAAGCCACAAAGATATATGAAAATAAAACTTTGTAAGCTCATACTAAGTGGACCAGAGACAACAGTTTTTAACACATGAGCATGCAATCAACAAAGAAGCATTATCTGGTACAGAATATGAATATTAAATTACATCTCATAATGAAAATGCTCAATCCCATAATTTTACACACCCCAATGTGAGAGCTTTCTCAATATTATCATCTACAGAAATAAAACAACTAAAGCCAAAGATGTTAACATCATTAACGAGATTATCATATTAAGCCCCATCATTCAGAAGTGTCAAAGAGTGTGCAGCACCTATCATGCTGCATTTCACATTTCAACCATCCAGTTTCATGTTTTCAAATAACACAATTGTGCTAGCATATCAAATTACTAGTAATTTATTTTCTGCTTCCTGCTATTAGCATTGCCATTATAATTTTTTTGCGCCACAGAACTGTTTTCAATTCCAATAAAGCATCAACTAGCAAATGAAAAGTGAGATTGGTTCTTTGGAGTCAATATATAATTCTCTGTTGAATTGCAACTTCACATTCTATCATTTAAATGCGGTATTTGTAATTTCAACTGAAAAGTAATTTAAGCTTTGTCAAAGATATTCTCCCCAAAATCAGATCGCAAACTCATACTGAATCTAAACATCATAACCTTGAAGAATAGCTTTTATACTTTTAATCAACAATTCTGCTGCACACAGCATGAAACATATCCCACTTTTAATCATGCATTAATCGAAATTTGTCAAGACAGAACAGATAATAACAGAAAATAATAATCCTAAAGCCAAAACTAATGGGATGATATATGGATACTGCCCCTGACAAATTTATTTTCTTAATTGTTACTATGCCACTGGATTTCTTCTAACACATTCACCACTGCACTTCAACCCATGTCCTTGATCATTCATGATATAATGTTAACGTGGATGGTGATGGCGAAGAAAAAGGTCAATAATCCCATATACCCTTGTTTCGCCTCAAGTTTCCTTTTTCGATCTACAGATCAAACTTTTAGAATTTTATACTTTTTCTTTCCGTTGGTGCTCACTCCTTAACATTTATTCCCAATGATTCCTGGCTTTCGGAATATCAACAAGGCAGGCCTCCAACTTTCCAAAGACAAAAGGGGAAGAAAATGAAAGAGACTTAAGTCTCTTCTTCAAGCCATGCAATTGTGACATAACAAAGGTAAAAGGTTCCCCTTTGATCCTTCTTTTCATCCACGTTTTCTCGACAAGTGAAAATCACAAGTATCAATTTCAGATAAGATTTAACAATTAAAATTGTATCAAAATAAATAACAACGCCCGAAGTTTTCAGTCCCCACCTACAACTTCGTTACTGGAATTTCCCATATCTCCAAATGAGAAAAACAAGACAATCTAGGAAGTCGTATCGTACCTTTGATGAAGAAATTGGAGCAAGGCCAACCCCAAAGCGAGGTAATGGACATGCACTCCTCGTCGCTTAGGTCATTCGTCAATTTCTCAACCAAATCCACCACATTTCCAGGAGAGGATGCTCGGGGCGGGACCCAGAACGACGAGCCTGGGACGAAGGGCAGCCAATCGGGCGTGGCTTTCTTCACGAGAATTCGCTGGATAAGTTCATCGAACCTCTTCAAAGCCAACTCGTACTCGCCCTCATTCAGAGAAGACGAGGTTGACGACGAAGAAGAAGAGCCTAACTCGATCTGAATGAGCTGGGGTTTGGAAGCCTTGGATGATCGGTGCCGGTGGTGTTGAAGAGAAAAGCAAGGTCGAACAACCTTTGGGCCGACCGACGAGGAGGAGGCGGCGGCGGCTTGACCGTGGCGTAGCATTGTACGACAGAGAAACCGCGCCATTATAGAGAGAGGATTCCGGTCAAGGTGGTGAAAGACGGTCAGTTTATGAACATATATACAAGGGAGAGATGGATGGCATTGGCAAGAGAGCACGTGGACACGTGGACACTAGCGAGAATTTTCCTTAATCATTGAAAAAGAATTCTATTGTTTGAAAAATATAAGGATGGAGGAGTAATTTTATATTTAAACTATGTATATGTATTTAAAAGTATCTGTAATTTTAAATTTATTTTTAATATAATATTTTTATACTTAAAAATAATATAATTTTATTAATTGTCACTTCAATCACAAGCAAATGTCAATTTTAACAATTAATTGATTAAAATATTATAAAAAATTTAAAAATTATAAAAAAATAACAAAAAAATTACAAATAAATTTCATATAAAAATTTGTAGTTTTAAATCACTTTATATAATTTTAAGATAACTTTTGTAATTTTTAAATTATTTTTTTTATTTTTTGAACAATCAATGGTTAAAGATAAATTTACTAGGGAGGACATTACATCATTTTAAATGTTGAAAAGACATCACACCAATTCATTAGAAATAAATTTAAAGTCTTAAATTTTTTTAGGGTTATAATTTAAAAGCAAAATTATTAGTTAACTTAAAATATAATTACCTATTACTTTATTATTCCTTTTTTCTGTTGGCACTGATATAAATGTTAGCATTAGCTATTGACTATTAGCTAATTGAATGAATTAACTAAATTTTACAAATTTATCCAAGTGAAATGAACATTAACTCGTTTTCTTGTGGATTATATTCATCAAAGGAAAGAAATGTGTCAATAAATGAGTTTCATTTAAATCAAACATGGACATCTTTGCTTGCTTTTTTTTTTTTTTGGGAAAAGATCAAATATGGACATCTTGAAGATATGATAGATGATAGTTTTCCACTTCATTTCCCACTTCCCCATTAAACCAAGCAGGTTGTAGGTATTATCATTACCCCTTTCCATCCATGACATGAGTTGCTGTGATGTACTGACATGCAATATCTTGGGTTGATTTAGTTAAATTTAAACTCAACAAGTTAATTAATAAAAATTAAATATCTTTCACACAATTCAATTATTATTGACACCTTGTAATGATCTTTAACAATTAATTATACTGGTTACATTTGGCTTGAATAAACTCGATCTGAACAGGCCAAAACCCAAATAAACCTGACTCCTTAAAAAGATCGAATAACTAAGCCCGACTCGAATTCCTTCAAGCAGCTTGAATATCTAAATTTTATTTTTAAAATTAATTATTTTATTTTTTAAAAAATAAAAAATATTTTTTATGCTTAAATGATGTATAGAACTTAAATCTATGGCATTTTAGTATAAAATGACTTAAAGCTTGAAAAATTAATTAATATTTATCATATTTTATATATTTTGTAAAAATAAAAAATTATTCGAGTATTTGAGTTAAACCCTAACCCAATCGAATTTGGCTCGAATTTTCTTAGGCCCATTCGAGACCCGAATAGACTCAAACATAAAAATATTATATTTTTCTAAACTCAGTCCTAACTTTTTTCGAATGAGTTGAGACTAGCACATCAAGTTCAACCTGAATTACCAACTCTAGTTGCATTGGTGAAATTGCAAGCAACAATAATTTCATAAAACTCGTCAAGTTCTTCAAAAATACCACTCATCAAAGCAATCTCACTATGAACCATCCCTTTATTGATACAATCAATAAGATTAGGATTTTTGACAAACGACCATATGTTTAGAAAAGTTAATATGTTCAAGCATATGCTTATAAAGATTAATAGATATGCGGATTTATTTACCTATCAAGCTTCTAATAATAATTTTAATATTATAATTTTTGACAAGCCATTATTTGGATGCAGAAATTGTATGATTTCTAACACCTGAGCATTTTTTCCTTGTATGCAGGGTTATTTGCGGCCTTGCATTTAATAAAAATAAAAGAATACCACCATCTTCACCGCAATATGCTTTTGCTAAGTTTCTTCACAAAGCCTCTAAATCTCTAATGAATATTGGAGTTAATGGTAGTTAGATCCATGCAAAAGTCGGGTGACTTCGGCAATGCTTTAAACTTCCACAAGTCGATAGTTAAAGATATTTGATAATTGTATTGATAGGGGAAAAAAAGGTTTGATGCATTGCTGAGTCGTCTTCATAACAATAAGCTAAATTATCTTCATTGATTATGAGTTTTCTCTTTTAAAGTTGGGAATATTTAATTTAGATCCAGGCAAACGAATTAAATCATCTCAAGATGGTTATAATATTTATCTTGAAATCAATAATGGTTCTCAATTCTTCTCGAGAATCACTATGTTGTCTAATTGAGATTTGATTTAGACAATTCAATTTCATTTTTTATTTTTTTTTTGGATACAGTTTGTTTTGTTTTTTCGGGTGTTTTAGTAAGATGTTCAACTTATACCTATTCTAATTAACCTAGTATCATCCTAATCATATCTGGATCTCGTCTCGACCTGAAAACAATTTGGATGAAATTTTGTAGAATGAGACCAGAAAAAATTTGGGACAGGATAAGACACGGGATTACCATCAGGACGTCTCGTCTTGTCTCGAGTATTATATCTATTATTTTTTATTTTTAAATATACATTAAATATATTAATTATATTAATATAATTTATACTTATATTAATTATATCAATTATAATTTTAATACTTGTAATTTTATATAACACTAAAGTTTTTTATATTGATAAGTTTAATGATATAGAGTAAACTGGATGATTATTTATTTATATTATATTAATTATATTAGTACAATCTATTTTATATCTTTATATTCAATAACTTTTATTTATATCATATTTCTTATTTTATTTTTAAAAGAATAATTAGCTTAGCATATCTCAATTAAAGTGAAAGAATAATGATTTGATATTGTACTTAGCTTGCTTGTTATTGGTGCCCTTATAATGCAGAGATCACTTGTAATTGCTATCATAATATATAGCTATGATTAATGTAATTCAACAATTAACTTTAAATTATTGTGATTTATATACTTGTGTTATTTTGATTTTAAACTTGATAAATTATATGATTTAAAATTTTAATGAATGCTATTATGCAGATCTTTCTCCAACATTATTTGACTTATCGAGACTGTGGGATGTTTCGATCTTATCCTGGTCCCATTCCAATTTCTAATGGGACGGGATGGGACGTGATGACTTTTGAGACGGGACGGGATACAAAAAAAAATTTAGTCTCAATCTTTTTTTGAGATGAGACACAGGGGGGGGTATTCTAGTACCGTCTTATCCCGTGAACACTCCTATGCTTTAGATACTTCTTATAAATCTAATTAATTAGTTAATTCTTTAAAGAAAGCTAAGTAAGATGCAACAAAAAAAGGGGGTCATTGGACATGATGTGAGTTGGGTTAGGATAAGGGAGGCTTTTTTCAGAAAGTGGGCTTTTATCACAGCCCATATGGTTGGGCCAACATATCAAATTTCAAATATATAGGAGGACGATAGAGAAATTTAAAAAAAAAAAAATCAATCAATTCAAATTAAATTTTAAAAATTTACAACTAATTTCTTAATTTTATAATTTTTTGTGATAAATTTATAATTTATATTTTAAATTTAATAAAAAAATAAATTTATTTTTTTCAATCTTGTTAAAATTTGAAAAATAAGTTATAAATTCATCACAATACAATTACACAATTGAGAGATTGAATTATAAATTTTTAAAGTTTGACACTTGAAATTTAATTTAAATTAATTGATCTCCTTGAATCTCTTTGTCATTTCCCCAAATATTTTCTTTTGACCAATGTTTTTCAAGTAGCGTAATGTTATTGTTATGGTTTAAAGTTTAAAGATACATTATCTTTTAAAATACTTTAATGCAAAGATATATTATGTTTTAACACATTAATTATGTTTCAAGCCTTAAAGATAAATATTTTTATTATTTTTATTTTAAATTAAAATTTAATTTTTTTTAAAAAATATTATATTTTAAGAATTAAAGATACAGCTTTTCAAGAAATTTTTAAAAAAATAAATTGAAAATTTTTATTCTCAGAATTAAATTATATTGAAGGTAAATTTGTTTGAAATATCAATTTATATCAAATGTGAAGATAATTTACTTAGGAAATTTAAATAACTGTCAAATGACATAAAAATACATTTCAAGGCCTAAAGATAAAGTTTTATTTGAAAGAGTTTTGTGCAAAAATATATTTGAAGACTTAAAATTAAATTTTAATATTTTTCTTTCAGATGTAAAAAATTTTAATGTATTTTATCAAAAATTTTTTACTGTAAATATCTTTAAAAAACAATATTTTAAAAATTCATGTATTTTGCAAAAACAAAAAAAAATTAATTGGTGTTTGGATTTCCTTATTTTGGTTTTTGTTAGTTGGTTTGCCGGTTTTTCTTTTGCCTTTAGGTTGTATCTACTGCTTTTTTATGTCCGTGATTGGAATACTTTTTTTTTTTTTTACATATATATATAAGCCATAAAATTGGCTTGTTTCTGTTTTTTTTTTTTAATAAAAAAACTTAAGGGATAAAGCTCTTCATCCTCCATCAACTGACTCTGACTCCGCAATGTGTTTTCTTACAAGTTGTGAGCTTTCAGAAGTCAAGATCGTAACAAAAATTGAAATCTTCGTCATTTGTCCGACGTGTCGGAATTTCATTGGATGAAATTTCAGGCCCCGCGCAATAATGCGCCGTGAAAATAAGTAAATTTGCAATCGCAACGAAGGCGAGGCTTTCTATTTTGTGTTCCCCAATTCAGAGACTCGAAGAAGGCGATTCTTCTTGGGACTAGGATCCTTGAGGCTTGAACTTCCTTTGATGGCGGAAAACTCGCTTGAAACGGCGTCGTCGAGCTCACAACCTTCCTCTTCATCTTCTCCTCCTCAGAAATCGAACGAAGTTTTCAAACAATCCCAGGTAGTGGCAATTTTCTTCAGCTTCAGTTTACTTTCGTAGTTTCAGCACCTAGCACATCGCCTATGACTCTGATCGCTTCATTACCAAATGTGGAAAACCAATTTTTGATTGAATTGGTTGTGAAATTGGGGCTTTTTCACCCTCTGAAGTTTTTCGAGTATAAAGGCAGAACCTAGTTCGTGTTTTGCTCAAATGGAATATTATTTGTCTCTTAAGGGCATATCATTTGTCTCTTGCGATGCCTGGCCTTAGGAGAAGGATATGCTGAGAATTCCTGAGAAACGATTTAACTTCATTTTGCACTTTTGATCGTTTGTAATTTGAACTGATTCTGCGACGATGTATTTGTCAAGGCGTCAGATTTATTTTTATGATCCAAAATGCATCTAGCTGACCATGTCCAGTAATTCATGATTTTGGGGGGATGTTTTCTTATTGCAGATCCCAGCATTTTACAATTTTCCGGCAGTCCCAGATGGTTATTATCAAATGTATCCTGTTATGTACCCAGTAGTTCCAGGATTACCTCCTTCACAAAACGAAGAACAGATGAACCGCGGAGCTGGCATATATGCTGTTCCTGTAAACCCATATATGGGCCATGTAACCGGACTGCCTTATAACACCCTGATTCCTCTGACCTACAGTACACCTACGTAAGTTTTCTCTGGTAACCTTTCAATTCTTGGAGTGGACATTATGTAGCTACTTATTTGATTTTTAATGATATTCTACTGTCTAGGGAGCTTAATTATCACAGTACTTAAAGGACGTTGCTTCTCGTTCTGATATTCAAGGATATTGTGCATTGTGTCCTTCCTCCCCCTCCTCCTCCTGGCCAACTTGTATTATGTATATCTGAGTACATTTATACCTTCACGATTTATTATCTAAGATTCTCTTGGTTTAACAATCATTCGTCAGGCTTATTATCACAGTCAAGTAGTCAGTGATTTGCTTAGTTGAAGAATAGTATTTTATTGGAATTGAAGATGCCAGAACAAATTATTAACAAAGTGTTAAATAAAATTCATTAAAGCAGTGGGAATGATCACCACTGGCAGCAATTTGAGGAAGGGTATTGCCATACATATTTTTTTATTAAAAGTTCGTATTAGTTAAAACTGATGCTTGTAAGGCATTGATGAGTTTATAGAGGCATCAGAACATGCTCTCCCCTTGATAATGAATGACTTTTACGTGAAGCCATTCAATATGATTTTCTTAATTTCTTTATGAAGTATGCGCTTGCAGTTTGCCATCAGTTGCAATACTTGTGAATATCGTTTGTCTTATGAGTAATGCTGTACAATTTCTGGGCTCATTAATGGTGGTGCTTGTCATTGTAATAGTCCTGTGTGCAGTTTTACAGTTCTTAGTAGGTTAAGTGATTGGCATCTTATTTCCCTCCTAGTCCAGTGACATTTGGTGGTTTTTTTAAATCTAATCCAACAATGAACTCAAGAGGGAAAAATAGAAATTTAAAAGTGTTAATGGTGAGTTAGATGTGATAATGCTCATGGTGATCTATATTTCTTTTTGGGTAGTTAAAAATGTTGACTAATTTCATGATATTTTTTCCATTAATTGGTACCAACAACAGTAGGCCAAGTTCTGAGGCTGGTACTAGTGCTGAAAATCAGGGGCAAGCAGCACAACAGCAACATCAACAGCAGCAGCCTGCACCTCAAAGACAAGTTGTTGTTAGGAGATTTCAAATTGCATTTCAAATTGATTTGTTCCTTATGTTGAAGCTGGCAGCTGTGATATTTTTGTTCAACCAAGATGGATCAAGGCAGAGGCTTATTATCCTTGTGTTATTTGCTTCTATTGTATACTTGTAAGTAACCTTCTGGTTCCTGGTGTTAAAATGTTTTCCACTTGAAACTCCTACTGCATATGATAACTCTTGCTCAAACTCAGGAAATTATGTATTCTTGATATGGCTAATATTTTCCTTTCCCTTCGCTATATAATATTTTGAATATTCCTTTTGGCACACCCGGCTGAGGGTGTTGTTTATATGTGTATGACTGTTCATTTAGTATAGCAGTGGTCAAGTTATGTAAAACTGTGAATGGCAGCTGAGGTTCTTACCTAGGTGAAATGTATTACAGATACCAAACTGGAGCTTTGACACCAATCATAAGATGGCTTTCACAAGGCATGCAGAGAGCGGCTGCTCCTCCTCATCCAGCAAGACCTGCAGTCCAGGCTGAAAACGCTCCTGCTGCCAGGCAGGGAATTGATAATGCTGCTCCCGCAGGTATTGTTGTCTTTCATTTGATGCACATAGTTTCTTGTGGTTGTGATTAGAGGCATCTGTGACAATGCTATTGGTATTTATGATGTCATTTGGGCCTTGGGATATATTTATTTTTGGGGAGCCTGTGGGAATTTTCCTTTTCAGATGCAATTTTTCTGATGGTAGGGTATCATTCCAGTTTGGATCACTTAAAAAGTGTGTTTAGATGGGTGGCCAAACAAAAAACAAAGTGTGTTTAGATGGGGAAGGAAATGAGGGTGGGGAGGAGGGCAACCCTCTCAGGTGTCTGAATTGCGTTGTTCGAAAATTCACTGTTTGGATTAGTGAAAAATGAATTTTATTACTGAGGTAATTAGGCTAGAATATAAATTCTTATTGAATAAAGTGGAATTTGAAATTCTTTTTCCCCCTTCCTCCCTCATCTCTGGAGGGTTAATTTCTCGTAATATTTCAGACGATCCACATACAATCCTAATAATGGTGATATTAACATATCTTGCCTTTGCTCTTGTTACAGATGTTGTTCAACCTGAAGTCGGGGTGATGAACCAGCACCAGCTGGCTAACGAGGCAGACCGACCGGTTGATAATGAAAATGTGGCAGAAGCAGAGGGAGGCAATGGGGGTAATCAATGGTGGGGAATTGTGAAGGAGGTCCAGATGATTGTCTTTGGATTTATAACTTCCTTACTTCCTGGCTTCCATAACCATATGGATTGAGTTTTAGTATGCAAAATATGTGAGGGAGAGAGTTTTCTCAAATAAACGTGTAGAATATGAACTTCCGAGCGTTGTAGTTTATTACATACTTAATGCGGTGCAAGTATAGGGTTCCATTTTCTTTAACTGTTATTTCAGATTGAGTTGGGTAATTCTTCAAAGCGAAGTGCATGCTTACCTAGTTTCATTTTTTGTTTATTTTATCTTTTTTTTCCCCGTGAGAAGGTGTATTCCTATAAGCACAGATAACATCAATGGAATCATTAATTTATGAGCATATACAGTCAGAAGTCGGAACTTTATTAGTTTTTATCTATTCGAAAACCTCATTTTTCTCTCAATATCTTTATACTGCTAAATTACTGAAGAAAAAATAAAGCTGAGTATAATGCATAATTTTTATGCTTAAATTAAATTTTTACCCTTGAAGTATTCTCCTAACATCTTAAATTATTAATTTAAGCAATTTTACTTTTAAAATAATTAAAATGAAATATTTTTATCCTTACTGTCAAATTGTTTCAACTAATAGTTTAGAACATTAGGTGCTATTTGAAGAATATTTTAAAAATAAAAATGTATCTTTATCCTTCAATAATTATTCTGTAGGGGCATTGGTTTGATCCAAACCCTCCATTAATTAGATATGGCATGTCACTGTAACCCTTGGAATTAAAAAAAAAAATCAAATGCCATAGGAGATTTTTTTAACCCAAAAAACAAAAAAAAAAAAAAAAGAGCTGATTCAGATTGTGGGAACTTATTTAGATCATGACATACCTCAAAACTCAATTTTTACAGAGGTTTGCCAACTGAACCAACTTTTGTTAGCATGGCTATAGAGATGAATTGAGTGAGGAATGGTATATAAAATGAATCATCTAAACATTTTGCAACTCCAACAAGCCAGTTCTACGATCCGACTCCTTAGCAAAACAAAACTATGCCCCCACAGGAATATCATGCCATATATATATATAATACACACTTATACAGTACAGCCCAGACACTTGTATACAGATATGAGCCTCCAAACATATGCAAAACTAGTAATTCTTTTCATTGCTAATAAATATTGTTAAAACAGAACCTATGTACAGGTCAATACAAGATTCACCTCACATCTCTGACAAAAGAATGCTGATCCTTCGAAGTTCCTTGAGAGCTGTCATGGCAGTAACCTGCCCTTTGCCAACCAGATCATTTTTTGTGTTATCCGATGAGGCTATGTGGCCACGGTCTTGTTGAAAAACTGACTCAATTACCTGAAGCACGAAGTGTAGTGATTTGGAAAATGACTGCAATAGTAAAATTTCTTGTGCTTGCTATTAAGATTTCCAAAGAAAACGTGGAGAAACCGTTTTTTGCTTTTAGGACTTCGTGACTTTGATTTATATAAGAAAACCTGATTGCAAACATCGAACACAATAACATTTAAAGAAACTTCACATGTCATTTCAGTAAAACTATGGGCTTCAAAACAATTTTCAGTATTCATTCTGAGAGAATTGAGGGGAAAAAAAATCTTCAGACTGCAACATATCTTCGCCCAATAAACTGTCATCAAATTCCAGAGCTAGAGTTGGAAATAACTTCACCTGAATATGGTCAAGCATGGACTGCCCAATATTCCTCCAAGTGCCCATCATATTCTGATCTACAGAATCCCCTTTACGACTGACAGAACTACAATGCCCATTAGCAGTAGATGAGGCTGCTGTATTACTTTGGTTACTAAAACTACTGGCAGATTTTGCATCCTCACAAACACCACCTTTTTCAGATGTAACCTCACCAGTATCCCTACCAGCCTTCCATAACCTCCGAAATCTATTCAGTTTTCTCTCCCCAGTGCTGGCGGATGAATTTCCTGTGGTATCATTATCACACCAGATGTCAGACTTAAGTTTTCAGGGGAATCAGAAATTGGAAGAGATGAGTCAACGGGACTAGGCTGTGAATTTTCATGGCATTCATCAAGCAAGAACCGAGACACAACACTACCATCTAACTCATTATCATGATCATTGGCCTCATTTACAGAATAAGTTGGGATAGAGATCACGCACAAGTTCCCATCACTGCCGGTGCTTCCACTTAGACATCCATCCTCAATGGTGTAATTGTTGCCTTCATCGCTTCCATCTTGTTGGTCCTCTTCAGTCACCACGGAATGATTCTCCTGCTGGCGTAAGTTTTCATGGCATTGAACTTTTTCTATAGGTTCCTCAAAGCCAAGTTCCCTAGAAAGATCCTTGATCAAACTGTGCTTGACGGATTCCTCCGATTCCTTTTCACCTTTCTTACCTCTCAAACGAGAAGCTTCAGATCCTGCTCTCTTCAGACTGAACTTTACCTTTTCAGTCCATCCCTTTTTCTGAGTTGGAACCTCTTTTTCTATACTTTGCTGCTTAAGTTCTTCAGCCTTGTGGACAACTCTCCACTTTTCTTCCCAGTAGCTATCAGGTAACAAACTCCTAGGTGTTTTTGGAGAAGCAGATTCAGATGGAAGGGTTTGAGATTTCAAAAACATCAATTTACCTTGGTTATAAGTATGTGCATATGAAGGTGATGAAGATGAAACATCAGCACTCAATGCAAAAGCCTGCAAAGATTTAGCCCTCTCTAGTAGTATCGTAATGTTGGCGTCCTCAGGAAAGTTTAGTAGTCTCTGAAGACAGGTGGTTGGATTTTCAGTAGCAAGTAGTGATGATCTCAAATGAAGTAACATTGCTACAGCCAGTGCAGAGATATATGCTCCACGAGGGGATTGCAAGACCCAAAATCCAGAGTGTCTGTCATGATCTTTACAGTTCTCTGATGCAAAGATCTCATCCCAGATAATCAAGAGGTTGTAAAGTGAAAATTCTCTTCCAAATAAAACTCGCAACCAGCGGAGAGCAAAGTACTGGGGTTCAACTCCAAGATCAACAAGATGGCTGTGCAGAGATGAATCCACCAGGAACAGTAAATGATACAATGCAGTAGAAGCTTCAATGACGGGCGGTAAGCCAGTATGAGACCCAGCTGCAGGGGCAGAAGAGAAGAACTCAGCCATTGCAACTGAACCATTGGCCCCATTCATTAAAACATCAAACATGCAATAAGCATCATGTTCCATGAATTTCTCAGACAATACAGTTCCCAATTCACCTTCAGCCCCATAAGCATCACTTAGCAACACTATGGTCTGTATCTCAGGATCAAGCTCATCAATATTCTTGACTTTCATTGCATTTCCAAGGGAGCCAATTTTATCCTTCAACAAATCTGGAGATTTTCTAAAATCAAAGCTATAAGAAAGATCATTCTCTTGACACAAAAGACCATCAAATGTGTCTGTGAAGTGATCTTCATATAACTTTCGAACTTCTGTGAGAAGCTCCACATCAATTTGGAGAACATACAACAGTGGAGCCAGTAATTCATGCATTCCTGTAAATAGAGAAGGAATGAAACTAAATAATTGGAAGTCAACAATTTGCATGATATTTAATACTTAAGTACAAGTTAACTGACTCTGAAAGCATGCAAGCAAAATGAATGAAACATACATTTTACCAAGTGACAGATTTCCTATTTAATCACTTTGTTTCAGTTCTATTTTCCTCCTTCCAAATAAGGACAAATCTGGAAATGAAGAAGAAAGACGATTGTTTGGGTGAAAGATTCATATACGCCTACCTATAAAGATTTTGTAGCTTTAATCAAGGCAGTGAAATTAGAGACAATGGGACTTGAAAATATATGATAGTAAAATTCTCAAATAGAGCCAATTGCTCATAACATTGCAGTATTGATGTTTTCCATGAATATTTTAACATGAAACTGAATATGATCAAAGCATATGACATGCCATTTCTTGTGATTAGCATCACTGCACCATTATTACTTGTATAAGATTAACAGGGGAGAGGGTTGCAAAGAAACCCGGTGCAAGACAATAGCTTATTCAAAATGAAATTGAATTTACTTATAATGACTGAATTGCTTCACTAAGCAATCTACCTTGTCTATATCCACACTCTTGGTGCTTGACACACCATAGTAATAAGATCCGTCTTAACAAGACTTGACATCCTGGTGTTTGGAAATAGGTGCCATGTTCTGGGTATAAACGTGACAAATCCTGATCAAGCATCCTCTCAAGCTCCGCATTACGAAAAAAGCGACTCCATGTACTCTCTGCTTATAAAGGCCATATTATATTCATCATAAGCTAAAACAGCATTTCATGCAGGCAAGATAAGGGATTACATAGATTATATCTGCTCCCTTTTCACCTCAATGCTTATTTGTTAGTAAATTTTCTGACGGGTTGGTTTGTTATTAAATAAGCATTTATATCTTCCACCGTAACAAATAAAAATTTCCAATTATGGAACCTTGATAAAAGAGCAATATGCATATAATATGGAAAGAACTCGATGAATACCAAGAGATGATGCCCTATTTTTAAAAGGGAAAAAAAACTTGTGTATTAGCAATGTCAGTGCCTAAAAGTGTATATTGGTTGTATTGAGGATCTATAACCAGATATGTAGATTTGACCAGCCACATTTTAGACACTCGAATGGAGTGTAAGCAGTAAAATTTACCTGGATTTTGTGAAAGTGGATTGTCCACAACAAGATCAGGTGAACTACCTCCATCCTTGGGAGTATAAGGATCAACCAGGAGGCACCTTCTCAAACTAGCATACCTAGCAAGATAATATGGGCAAAGAAAAATCAATTAAAAAAAATTGCAATGAGCTGGACATACAAATTGTCCCGCAGTATTTTGAAATAAGGTCAATTACACACAGAAAAAAGGAAGATAATTACTATGTACTTGGACCCAAAGAATACAGCCAAAATTCACGTCAGCATGCGGCTTTGGAAATATAAAAAATATCTAACTACAATCAGTATAGTATTTATCTACCTATCACCATCGATTCCTAGGAAACTCTAGCGAAAATTTACATAATCATAACATGAAAGAGAGATGGGAGGGGAATAGTAACAGACAAGATAATGATCATGAAGCTGAATTACCTCCTTCGGGAATCAGCAGTGGCCCGACGAAGATCATTGATAGAAGTTGAAGAAGAAGATGGCAAAACCCCAAGATTTATGCGCCACTGCAAGCCTCTAAGTTGTCCGAAACGCGGATTCTCCAGCGCAGATCTTTGAGGAACATAGTCGGAGCTGGACGATGGCACCGACGACGGTTCTGACAATGGCGGATCCGTGAGAGCTGGCGGCATGATCAAATCAGCAAAATTCTTCGCAAAACCTGATGATCACGGGCAATGAAAATCGAGAAAAATTCAAAAGCACATAAGAAGAATAATGAACACAACCAACCAACCAACAAACAAACAAAACAAAACAAATTTCCGGAGTAATCAATGAAAGAAAAGCGAAAAGAGAGAAATGTTAATTACGGGGAGGAATTGAGGTGGCTGAAATTATAGAAGACAAAGGGGAGCGTCACGTTGCAGTTTGAGAGATGGTGATGGTCTCCTCAAATGGCTTGCACACTCGATTATATCTCATCCTATATGTCTGTCTTGCTTTTGAGAGCGATAGGGAGAGAAAGCAAGAAGTTTGTTTGTGTACGTACAGAGAAAATAAAGGAAGTGTCAATGGGGTCTCTGCGCTTTGCTTGGCCCGTTGTCGCACCAATATGAAGTTTGAAAAACGACAGTAAAATTTCGCAGGTAATATACTTCTCCATTTAAAAAATATAAAATATTTTTTTAAAAATTAAATATTTAAAAATATAAATAATTTTAATCTTTTAAAATATAATTATTATTTTTTAAAAAATTTTATTGATAATGACTTTATATTTATTGTAGAGCATTTTTTTTTTACCAAAGAGATTTATTGTAGGGTGTTTAAGAAGATAAATATAAAAAGATAGGGTTAGTTGGAAAGTATGTAATTACTTTATTAAAGATAAAATTTAATTAAAAATATTTTACATTTTTAAATGAAGAGAATAAATAATAAGTTGATTTTTTAAAATCCCACAATTTTATTAAAATTTTTAAAAACTTTTATATTAATAAATTTTAAATTAAAAAGATTATTTTATTTTTATTAATAAATTATAATTTTTTATTTAATTCTTATAATATTAAATAAAAGTTATTATTTTTTAAACAAAAAATTATAATTGAAACTTATTATTTGGATAACTTATTTTTTACAAAAAAAATTATTATTCCTTAAAAAAAAATTTATAAAAATTTTTTATTTAATTTTTATGATTCACAGAACAAAAGTTATTATTTTTTAAGTAAAAATTGTGATCAAGACATGTTATTTTTCATAAAAATAAAATAATTTTTTTATTTTAAAATTTATTGATATAGAAGTCTTCAAAGACTTAAGTGAAATTGTAATATTTTAAAATATTAAATTATTATTTATATAATTAAAAAATTATTATTATTTTCCCCGTAAAATTAGCTCTCTGCACATTTTCCATTTTCTATTTTAGGTCCCCCCCACTCCTTTTACCCATCTGTTTTGGTTCTTTTCCCTAAGGACAAATCGTCAACTAACACACGCACACTCCTGATTTGGTTACTACAAAGTGCTTTCAATTATTTCATTTAACTAAGGAGTAATAGTTAATTTATTAAATATATCTTAAAATAACATTTTTCTTAACTCTATCTCTATTAAAAAAAGAAAAAGAGAGGATAAAAATAGACTAAATTGATTTAAATTTTAATTAAATAGGCTTGAACCTATAATGTAGATTAAAGGCTTGAACCTAATTTTCTAAAACTCATATAAAGCTTTTTTTCAAAGCTTAAGCCTGAGTTTATTTAAAGCCTAACCTGACATATAAGTTTATTTAAAAGTAAGTATTTTAAATAGATTTACATATTAATTTTAAATATCTCAATATACTTTAAAACTATTAAAATATATATTTACGTAACATAATTTATCAATTTCAATATTATCAACTATGATACAATAATAAAGTAACAGGATTAAAATCAATGTATAAATCCAATCTAGTTAAAAATATAATTAGAAATAAAAAATAATATATTGATTAAAAATTAAATGATGAAACTAATGAATGTTATATATTACATAATAATATATATGTAGATAAGCTAGCTTATTAGGCTTATAAGCCAAGCCTTGTGAAAATAAGCCTAGTCTATTTAATTAAAAAGACCTAATCAAAAGCCCGAACTTAGTCCAAATCTATTTAGTATATACATTAGATTGGACTTGAAGTAAGCTAAGTTGTAAACTCTTGATAAGGGTACAACCTATTTTCACTCTTAATATATAGTATATGATAAGTCATAAAATTAAATTTATAATAAAGATAAAATTAAAAAATGATAATAAATAACTCTCCATATATTTTATATTCCCTTTATCTTGAATTATAAAATGCTTTTGGACAAAATCTTATACATTTAATAAAACTCATTAAATATATTTAACAACTTTATTTTTTTAAGCAGAAAACTTATATGTTTAGCTTTATACACTTAATGTTCTTGGTTTTAATTAAATCAAGATATGTGGAAGTTGTATAAATTATTTATTCTATAATAAATTATTATTATTAATTTTATTAACACATTAAAATTCATTACTTGTCATAATGTGATTGAAATAAGTATATTAAGTGTATAGGATTAACTTTTAAGTACATAAGCCTTATCCATTTTTAAAATAAAAAAATAAATTTTTAAAATACCATTCATTTAAAGATAATGTTAAGATAAGTTTATTTAATGAAACCTTAATTTTTTTAAAGTGTCTTATATTTTGATACGCCGAATTATTTTTAAAAATATTTTATAATTTAGAATAAATAGAGAATTAAAAACTAAAAATTCTTTCTGGAATGTGACTTAAGAACCGGAAGGAGTTACATAATTCATGGTTGTGCATGGAAAGACAAAATCCAAAGAGATTAGCAAACAAAATTTGCCTACGTCCAGAGGGGTTATCGGGAACTACAATGGCAATGTCCACCACGTGGTAAATTCCATGAGCAAATCAGTTAACGCAGTTATTTACTTTTTAAAATAAGTGGTTAAAATATTTAAATATGTAACAACATAGTCACGCATGATGAGTTATCTAATTTCTCAATAATATTAATAAATAGATAATACAAGAATTGATTATTTTCGATGGCATTAAATTTCAGTCAGATCATTGTAAATATTGAATTCAATGCATTTCTTATCTCTGCAAGGTCTTAAACCTTTCGTCCTTATATACAACATACAACATATTTTTAATTAAATATCATATATTAATAAAAGTTTATTATTTAGTTGAACTCACATAATAATAAAATAATTTTTTAATTTTATCCCTACTAATATCATAATTAATATCATGATAGTAGTAGCAAAAAATATATAATTCATGATCTATTTTATTTTTTAAGATAAAGTAAAATTGTCTAATTACTTAAAAATATCATTGTCATCCCTTATATATAGGAACGGAGGGGGTAATTGAAATTCAAGTCCTTTTTAGTTTGAAGTAGTTAGGGTTAGGTTTCTGATTTAGGTGACATAATTAAATTTCTAATTTACAAAGGCCAGTTTTAACGGGCTTGAAAATAAAAAAGTTAACCCTTTCAACCTTATTATTATTTTTTATTTTGAGTACAAGAAATAAAAAAAATACGAAGACATCATTTAAAAATCTTGAAGTTGAATCAAGATCTAGAACTTCAACTATTACAACTCATTGTGCTTCCATACTTTAAGCGTCTCAAAATAGCAACAATCACTTATAATGACATATTTGATGTATGTTTTAAATATTTTGTCAATCAAGTTTGTTATTTTAAATCTTGTTTTACTTTATTAGCATTTAAGTGTATTTCTTTAATCATTTACAAATTATTATGCAAGATTATCAAGATATTTATACAAGCATAGATGATTTTTCTATGGACAAGTATGAACTAATGATGATTATTTGGATGAACTAATACTTAAGCCTTATAATTAAATGATGATAGTTAGATAATGTTGCTATGTTATTGATTTTTTTGTGAATTTACTTAAAATCTTTTTTTCTAAACTCAATCTTATGTATAATAATTTTTCTTATTATAAATGTGTTTATTAAGTATTTGAATTATGAAAAAAATAAGATCAACCTTTCAACCTTAAGGGCTAAGCTAAACTTTAAAAAATATAACTCTAAAATTTTGTTGGGTTTTTTGAGCTGGCTATTTTAATTCCTTTGTGTTAGCAAGACTCTCAAATTGAAGATCAACAAGCCAATCTCCTTCTCCATCTTTGTCAAATTTTCTTATGTGATTGGTTGTTGATCAAAGAAAAGCATTTGGAGTTGGTTCACTCTTCAAGATAGTGTTAGGTTGTTTTGTAATCATTTTAGTAGGGTATACTTTTTATTATCATACGGTTGACTTGATTAATGAAGGTTTATCATTTTGTGTGGTTAATATTGTTTTTCTTTGAATTTTCTTAACATTTTAAGAAACAATATTTATAGCATATTTGAAAAAAAAACATTTATCTAATTGCCACATTCATTTCAAATAAAACCACCATGTTATTATAACTCTTTTTGATTTGGAAAACCATTGGATTGACATCTAACCTCACCCAGTTAATTAGTGTTGGAAACTTGGGATCCATCTTAAAGGCATATTCTTTATCTTAATACGGCTGTATTTATTCTTGCCTCTAACTTAAAATCATCAATAATTTTTTTTATTTTCTTTTTTATTGCTCACATATATATTCTTATTGAAGTCGATCATGTTCAAGATACGATCAAATATTGAATATGAGTACTTCTTTTAATAAAAATTTAAACATTGATTTATTATTTTATGAAAGAATAACTATTTTCACTACATTTAATTTTCATTGGTAAAAACTTTCTTAAAGTATAGAAGTGGGCTATGTATGTCCTATGGGTCCACTATATAAGTGTCTAGTGGAAACGAGATTCCATTCTATATGCAGCACGACTTAGCTATCCTAAGTATCTGTGGTGAATTCTAACGATTTAATTTCTCTCGCAAAGTGAGTGGGGTCGTCAAAAGTACCTCATGGTCGTTCACTTTACCATTTTCTATATTGAATTTGGGACTTTCAAAAGAAGCCAACTACAGGACAACTATTACAATCATGACCAAAACTTGCGTTGTTCAAAACTAACTTTGAGCGGCTTTGTACAAATCTTTTAGGTATTTTAATATTATAAAATACTCAGTTATTAAATATTACAAAATGTGCCTTTCAATATATTTTCCCCTTTCTTTAATAATAGGCATTACAAAAAAACTTGACTAACAATAACAGGCTACCAAATAAAAGATTGTACGATTTTATTTTACCAGACACTCCAAAATGCCTAATATAAAAGATTTTTTTATACAAAAAAGTTTAAGTAGGTAAAATCCTCTGAGCTCACAATTAAAATATGCCTATAAATTTAAATAGTGCTTACAAACTACAAATGTATTTACAAATTGTCCATTGACAATAGATACTTTTTTGGGGGTAAAAATTGACAACAGATTTGACTTTACAACTTTTTTGCAACATCATGAATTTTTGGTTTAAAAGCTCAAGAATATGCCAGAATTCAATAATTTAC